AGAAGGTGCATATTTAGGGCTTAAGATAAAAACATGTTTCTGAATCTACTTATATATATATATATATATATATATATATATATATATATATATATATATGCCTGATTTTCAAAACTTGGTCATCAGTAACTCTTCTGTTAGCAATCTTCATGAATCTTTGAGGCATAGAGTTTTCAGACTTTATGGCAAGGCATAAAAAGTTCCTTATGTCAAGAATACAAAGATAATTTCTTCTCATTGTCTTCATTTATTTACACATACACATGAATGAGCAGATGCTGAAAAGTTCTTAGTCTGACCAAGAGGGCATTTAAAAAAAAGACTTCTGATTGCTCATACAGAAATCATCAGATGTTGGGAATTTGGTCAGACTCAGAACTTTTCTGCACCACCTCAACTACACATGCACACAAAATAGTTCATCCATGCCATTAAAAAAAATAATGACATATTTTGTTAAGTGTTAAAAGCTTACTATTATTAGGCTTTCTAATGTAAGTCTGTTTATATCTCTCATTTGCCAGTTCAAGGGAGATAATTTCTGTATAGCAAAAAATTGCAGGAACAAAAAATCAGTTGATATATTATATAGTAAGTATTATTTTTGCATAACTCAACTTTTTCTTCTTTAAGTGAAAATACATTTAAGTTTGACCAAATAATTCTATTAATTCAAAGAATACATTTTTTTTTCTTAGTTTGAGTTCAAAGAATACTTTTCATGTTTTTGGGTGCCATCTCCCTTTTCATGTTTTTGTTTTACTTTCCATTGTATTTTTTCCTCTTTGTTTTCAAGATCTCTTCATCTGACAGTCATTATTTTGTGGATATGTTATGCTCTTATAAGACACAATAAAAATGGAACCAAAAAAAAAGAAACACTTAATTATTTTTCATCATTTTACTTGTATCTTTTCAGCATTAAAAAAAAAAAAATGCTTTCAAATTTTGTTTGGGCAGCTATCACATTTTCTTGTGCTGCCATAATGTAATAAATTTTGAAGCAAAACTAAAGGCATAAAAAGGAGTCATATTAACACAAGTAAACGTTTTCTGAAATTTTTACTCGGCTTAAAACAAAAATATCTCTGATTTGATTTGAAACAGGAAGATTGCAAATACACTCACTCAGTACAATAGATAATAAAACACAAAATAGGCAGGTGTTGATAATTGTTTATGAAAGATATTTAATATGTCAGCAATATTTGTTCTTTGGGAATCAGCACAATTAAATGTCTTTTGTCTCAGTTTTGCTCACAATTTAAAGTTTGTTTATATTTTGATTTTATTGTCTTTTTATGAAGTTTTTTTTTTCTTTTTATTCTTAATAGCTGACAATATTTTTTTTCTTCATAGTTTATTAATTTATAGAAATATAATAGTCATATCAAACAGAAAAGTAGGATAGATTAATTAACACCTTAAAATGTATTATTGCAAATTTCTAGTTAGCAACTTTCCCTGAAAAAAAGATTTGAAACAGAAGTTAGAAGAAATATGTAATGGCTAAACATCTGAATCATTTCTATTAATATTTGGAAAAAAAGTAAATTATTGTAGTGAAATATGTGTATGACATTGAAATTTTAATAGCTAATATGGTACAACATTTAAAAAAAACATATGCATAGGGAGGGCTGTACTATGGTGTTATTTTATACTTAAGGATGTAATTTATTCTGTATTTTTAGCTTCAGAAACACAGTGTCATATACAAGAAAATATGGTAATCTGTTGATGTTTCAGAAGTATTTTCATTCACCTTGGTTTATGGCCATGTCACATTGAAACACCAGTTTCTGTATGATCACTGAAGTTAAGCAACATTAAGTCTGGTCAGTACCATGATTGGTAACCAGTTGGGAATACCAGGTGCTGTAAGCTTGTGCAGGTGGTGTAATGAATAATGGTTTGGAATTGTTAATCAGAGAGCTGAGTTTCAGTTCTTGCTGGGTTCACTTATGCGCAAATACTCTTGGGGGAAAAATATGAACCCACATCTTCTCCCTCCAGTCATGAGTTAATTAGTAAAAAAAATTTTATCAATAGACCATTATTATCTCCTTCTCCCACCACCACCAAATTCTTACAATCTAAAAATATATTCTAACTTTAAATATCCTGCAAAGGGTTGATAAACCATAGAAAATGAATGAATCCATCAATTTGCTAGGAAGGATTGGTTTTATATGTATCATTTATCCATGTGCTGGCTTCATAGTTGATTACCACCTGACATCTTGGAATTTGACAAGGTAATAGCTTACCTGTTGCTTTGTGGACTTGAACATCAAATTGGGTATTTTACAAGTCACCTGATTCAGTGTCCTACTGTATATTTTAATTACCATGTGGTTAACACGTTCTGGTCAGGAAGAGAGATAAGCAGTAGAAAGTTGAATGCTCGTCTTGAAGGAAATTATGTTTTTCTTTCACATCACTAGTGGGTGGCTGGTTTGTGCTAAAGAAAGCAGATTAATCTTTTGAAGGAATTTGCATTTCTCACAAGTTGGATGTTTTGAAATGTATCTTTTATGTTATTCACATATGGGTGAAGGCAAACAACTGGTCCGTCATAATCAGCTGCTTCAGGTAAATGGAGCTTGACAGCCAAGGAGGCAGTCAATCTAGGGGAAAGAAAACTGATTTTAAACCTCTGCTGCCTTACGGTCATATCCAAACACAGAAAAGTCTATGGAAGTAAATCCAGATGAAAAACAAGGAGTGGATCCCGAAGGCAGTTGGCTGTCGACACTGTCAATTTTTCAGCAAATCCTGCAGCCCTCTATTCCTTTCTCTCTTGTCAGTACGACTGAGAGGGTGGTGGGGGATGTAGTCTGGGTAGTGCACTGCCTCCATATGTCATTGCCCTGGTCTGCACCCTGAAGAAGTCACTTTAATCTCACCATTAACAGACTGAATTTTAACAAAACAGGGTGCTACTTTTTATTTTGCGAGATAAACAAGATACCAACTTAAGCTGTTCCCGACAAGAAATACCTGAGGTCTAAATTGAATTTAATGTCCATCAGAGTTGACGTGTGGTAACCCCAATATGTACAGAGGGTTCACTTTAAGAGATGACAGAAAATTTTATACTCCATTTCACTTCAGAATGTTGAAAAAAAAAAACTAGGATCCCCAATGGTTGACTTACAAGACAAACTCAAAGATATCAAATGCAGTATCAGGTCTCGAATGATGTTGTCAGGTACAGATGTGGCAAGGGCAATATCAACCCCTGAAATAATGATAATAAAGGAGGATATGCTGTAAAAACAGAAAACACCAAGTGAAGAGAGGCGTTTTCGAATAACCAAAATCTTAATATGCTGTAAGAACTTTGAAATGTAACGTTAATTTAGAACATGAAATACAATCTTTTTGTAAGTGTACAAAGGATATCAGATTACTAATAGAAAATTACCGGAACAATAATAATTAGGAACTTTTAAAAAAGAAATGGATTTTGACACTATAAGAATCGAAGTTAAAGGATGTTTTCATCTAGAATTTATTTTTGAAACAAGACTAGTTTACAAAGAACGGCAGAATAATTAATACTAAGTAATAAACAATGTCTTGCGAACCTTGGAAACCAATCAATGAAAAAGTAAATTGTTTATTCTTGGAGGAGTGAAGTTGTACTTTGGTAGTATGTCAGTACGTTTGCACTAGAAAAACAGATACATCACCAGTCTGGGACATGGAGGCTGGTTCTCTTAATAAAGAGGCAAGCCAACTGGAGGAGGGAGAGTTTTGGGTTCGTCTGTCTTTCGAATGCAGTCGAACTGAGGGAAGAGACGTCAGGTTGAAAAGGAAGTGTCTGCTGTGTGTTGCTGAGCGTGAAAAAGAGAAATAGTGCAGCTAACATCTAAATACCGCTACTACTAATACTATTACTACTACTGAAAACGGGGACATTGAAGGTTGTAGTAGTTGCACTAAGAACAGACCAAAAAGGGTTAAAACGAAGGCTTCATCTCTCCTTTACTGAAATTATTTGAAGATATTTGTATTTGGTTATTGTTCACATACAAGAAGCAGTCAACCTTGTGCAACAAGAACTTTTTTTTCTGTGTTTGCTTTTACATATATAAAAAAAAACTTTTGTCCTTTCAAAATCAAATCACTGTCGCTTGGTTTGATGAGGTAATTCACAGTTTTCTTCACTATACTTCCCTCTGATCTCATTATCACAAATCTGACAACTTGGAGTGGCCCTCTTTATCCTGGTGCTTCATTGTAATGGCACTATCTCCCTTACGTGTGTTGGAGAGTCATCTCTTGAGTTGTCTATCTTCTCTTTCTTTCGTTCTTATTCCTAGTGAAACTAAACAGCGTCTCTGATATATCTTTTCCATCTTTCCTTGTAATCAAAATGTAACAATCCACTATTTGCGAAATATTGTCAAGGTGTAACGTACATGATAACTAAGGAAGAAACAGAATTATATGATTTTGGAGCAGTACAATCAATAACACAGCCGAAAATTTTAAGATTTGAAATAAAAACAAATTGAAATTTTACTCTGTGTAGATGTGTGGCATCTGTCAGTCGTGAGAGACCATGGACCTAGGCCTCAGCGGTTGATTTATGGCTGTTCTGGCCCAAACAGGAGTGAGTCACAATTGCAATGAATGCATGTGAAGATCCTTTTCCCATGATGTTACCCTGTTGCTTTATTCCTTTCATCAAGCCTCCATCTCTTCTCTCCTTAAATTGTAAATCACATCTCTAATATGAGCAATTATTGTCAACATCTTCCCACCTTTCAATGTTCATGTCCATCGCCCTCATTCATGTCCCTTTTGCAGGTGTCCTAGAAATGAAGATAAGGTCACCCTAGTGCCAGTGGCTAGTTCTCTATACAGAAGGACCTTTGGAATCTTCCCATCAGAAGGCTGTTGCTTCTTGTGTTTCCCTGTCACGATGAGCTGACACTAGTGTGTCTTCTCCAGGGCACAGGTCTAGGTAGAGTTTTATGAGAGACTAGCAGTAGAGCCCGGGGATATAACAGTAAAAGAGATAGATCAAGTATCGACCATCATATAAACTGAAAAATAAAATTGACAAAGATTATTGTTTAAGGTTGACGGACACGCATGTCTTAGATTTTTTTTTTTTTTTTTTTTTACGAATTGGTCAAACCCAAACTCAAACAAAAACATTGTTTTCAATCGTTATGAGTCTACCGATTGAATAGAATTTTATTATAAACAATTGTCTTGTAAATGGAATTTTTAAAGCATTCAGAATGTAAAAATAAAGAAAAAAGTGTGCAAGACAATAAGAAACACTACCTGTCAAAAAAAAGTAGTTTTGTTGAAATCTGTTCAAAAATGTAGGAAATCCGATCCCATATATAAACACACACAAAAACAACCTGGGTTTTATAATAAGTATAACTCGATATGAGTTGTCCCCCTTTCATTCTGGCAACAGAATCGTGTTTTATCTTGTTTTCAAATTGATTTCATGCAAAAACAATTGGGTTTTTCCAATTTTTTGGCACTGTCAGAACCACCACAAGGTAATTTTACGTAGTCCTGTGAAGTTTTGTCGAAATCAGTTGAAAAATGTAGGAAATCCGATCCAATATATAAATGTACAGACACACACGCGCAAACACAACCTGCGTTTTATAATAAGTAAGATTTGCAGTTGTCCATGCAGCATGTGTCTCCTCTCCACATCACTGATGTCCAAGGGAAAGGTAGAGTCCAATACAGCTTGATGCCAGCATCATCACAGGAGTTGCTAGAACAAAGTTGAACATCAGACAGTCTTAGGCTATGGATTTGTCCTAAGGGTTTACTCCTAAAGCCTTTCCCATAATTGGGTATGGCTGTAAGGCAGTGGAGATTTAAAATCAAGGTTTTCCTTCTCTTAGATGGACGACCCTCCTGGACTAACAAGTTCCCTCCAGCCATCTTTGAACTTGTATAATATAGTAAAACAATCAGCTTAGTATAACTAAACTGGAATTACTGCAAGTCATGCTACCAGCTAAAGCAGTTTTTTTTTTCTCTGGGTCACATTTTTAGAACGAAAATTTAAGTCCTGGCAAAAAAGCAGAAGCAACAAAGAAGGTTCAGAGAGAAAGGTTTCAAGGGAGATAACCACGGATTCAAAGTCAGAATATTATCATTGATAACTCTCTCCAATTTGCAGACCCTAGTTGCTATATGCTTAATACTTGATATAAAGCAAAAATATCACAATGATAAAATCAGTAACTATTTATAACTATTTATACCTGAACTCATGCATGCAATTACAAGTAAGCCATAATAATATTTGAAATCATATTTATTTTTGGCATATGAATTTTTTAAAACTGTTTCTAAATCTTTGTCTTTCAATCATTCTGCCTCACCAGCTATCCTCTTTTGCTGCACTATTTGGCAGCCATTGAGTTCGTCTGTCAAATAGTTTGAAATAGGTTATTAAGTGCAGTGCTTCGTTTGACTCTTAAAACTAGGATGGATTTAGTAACTGCAACACTCCAACATTTTTTCAAAAACTTGGTTGTCTATGGTATCTACATAAATGCAATTCTCCCAGGCATGTAAAACATGGAAAAATATTTCTAAAATACTTATATATAAGAATAATTTTATATTTACAACATTTTAAAAACTAATGCAATGCAATATTTATTCATTTACCAATTTATAAAGCCGATGTTTTGCCAACCATTCCAATAAACAATATAAGTAAATAGTGTTTAATATAAGTTTTTTGCAAATTCTCAAGAACAAAAAAAATGTATAAATTCACTTCATAAGTTTTGGTTTTATTAAAATTCTAAACATCGCTTAAAAAATATATAATATAAAAAAATATATAATATAATATATATATTGCCGAGGAGTGAAGATAGTTAAAATAAAAATAAGTTACCACCTTGTGGGAATCAACACATTTTTTATGTGAGAATGTGTATGTTGTATAGTAAATATTTACGGGATCCAGGAACATTTGTTCTGCAAACAATATTGGCAGACTCATATGAGTCCTGGTAAAAAAAATAAAATAATGAAGGGCAGGGTGGGAATTGAAGATTGAGTAACCAACTCCAAGGCCACCCGTAAGGATTGACCACAGACTCACCCGGTTACTGAGGACTGGATTTATCTCTTTTCTATAGACATTCTGAAAAGAGCAATAACAGGGGGACTTGACTCCTCAACTAAAATTCTCTGCTTTTAATATTAAATTATTATAGAGTGATGCTTTGTGTACAAAGTACTGAGAGTCTACAGCAGTGGTTCTTTAACCAGGATCATTAGGGTTGTATCCTCAACAAGGCAAGGTCTCATCATTTTAAGGTTGAAATGGCTAAATACAAGTTCTATGCTAACAGTTTCTTCTCTTGCACTTCTTACTTGAACTCTCTTCCAGCTTCTTGTTTTCAGTCAAGTTTGATCTTCAAAAATTTAAATGCAATGTCAATCATTATCATAATTCTTGTTTTTTTATTCATTTCTCTCCTTGATAGCATCATCTTTTTCTCATATTCTTTCACACAGTAACCATTTGTATCTTAGTAGCTTTAGTGGACTTTTTTTTTTTTTAAATTGTTCTTCATAGTTTAGATTAGTGGTTCTTAAATAGCAGTGCGATATTTGTTTCCTAGTAGGTGTGAGGATACTGAAGCATTAGGGTTGGTTTATTAAGGAAACTCTAGTGTAGTGTTTGGCAATCTGACATAAAAGTTTACATTGTAGAAATTTTACCAATTGCTGCTCATGTGGAAAGCTGCAAACCTGACAAGAATTTGGAAGATGTTGGCAATCTGACCAATTGGTACCATTATAATAGTGTAAATGTATAATTAGGGAAAAAACGAGCAGAAATTGCTTGTAAAACTGTGCTACAGTTGGAAACAGTAGTATAAAGATAGTTTTTGATAAAAGACTGGAACTACTGCTCAAATACTCGAGATGTTTTTTGCTCATACGAGATATTTAAATATTGTTGAATTGTGTTTGGGCTTACATATAATTATGCATGGTGCGAGGGGGGATACATAGATATATTTAACACCTCGTTAATAAAGAGTGTTGCAATAACTGGGATCAATTTTAAATGTGAATTAAGTTTAAGCATCTAATGAATTTTTTTTCTTTTAGATTTAACTTAAGTCCTTGACCATTTCAGCCATGAAAAGATTAACAACCACATGTGTAAAACTTTCAAGAGTGCAATTGGAAAAATTGTTGTAAATTCAAACTGGGTCAGTGGCAGATGTGAAAACACCATTGCGGGTTTGTTTACGCCGTTCAGCTGAAAACATTGCTGCAGCGCACGGGAACGTGGCTGAAAATCCAGACCCCTCTACTCGTCATTGTGCATAGGAATTAAACCTCTCCACACTGTTACATAGTTTCCAATTTCACTCTGTTGGTTAATTATGTTAACCAAAAAAAAAAAAAAAAAAAAATCGTGAAGTGCATGAAATGCATTTCTGTTTGAGCATCCATTTTCGTAATAGGCTTCAATAACTTTGAATTGTTTGATTGTTAATCTTTCCATCGTTGAAATTGCTAAAGACTCAAGTTGTTAAGTCTGAAAGAAAAAGAAAAAAATCATTAGATGCTTAAACTTAATTCACATCAGTCAGAGTTATTAGAACACCTTTATTTTCAGAAAGGAATTTGAATATGAAAATATGCGTTAATTGTTGCTGGGTGAATTTATAAACTAAAGACAGTTGATGCAAACTGAAGTTATGAGATTTAATGTTTTTTTATTACAATTTGATTAGGTTGTTATATTGTGGTATTTTGATAAAGATTACCAAATGTAAAAAAGATAGTTTTTAATTTTAAAATTACATTGAAACGAATTAACATAATGAGGTTTGAGTTGTGTACTTTAAAAAAAAAAACAAAACAAAACATAATCAATATTGTTTTTCATCAATTCTGGAAGTGTGTGCGGGAATTGATTGGTGGTTTGAAAGGGAGTGTGAGCAAGGAAAAAGGTTAAGAATCACTGGTATCCAGTATCTTGGTAAACAGCATCTATAGAAGACCTGGTGGATATATTAGAGTCTTTATTGTACATCATCACCTACTCCTTTATCTCCCTCTTCCCCTTTGGTCAAAAAAGTGGATGCTGCTTAGAAAAGTAAACTTCAAAAAGAACCATCTGCTGGCTAAAAAACCAATCAGAACCACCTGAAATAAAGATAAAACCACATTCTGTTACATCAAAAATATGTACTCTGTATACTTGTGTAGAAGCAGACTTCACATACAGTGTAATTACTGTTTTTGTTTTTTGCATGAATGTTAAGCCCTGCTTATTATGCATGATTTTTAACCTTTTCAGACCCCCCCCAAAAAAAATGAGTGATGTCAACAAACACTCATTGTTACTTTCGTAAATGCTCATTGTAGTAGAGACTTTGTCATGCTGTTGAACAATACTTGCTCGATAATACCTGCTCGAATAGTAATCCAAATAGAGAAATAGTATTGTGAATAGTATAGAAAATAGCGGTCTGTATAGTAATAGAGGATAGAATAGAAATGGTGATCGTCTATTAATAGAGTAGAAATAGTGATCCATATAGTAATAGAGGATAGACTGGAGATCAGTTAGATACATGCTACCTTTCATACATGTGTTTCCTCTATGGTCACGTGGTCTACTTTATTCAATAATGAGATTGCCTGTGTTTGCTCACTGGCAATTTATGTTCAAACTCAAGTGTCGGCAGTGACACTTTGTTCCTATATAACATTGTGTATAGTGCGACTATTTTTCTGCATAAAAAAAAAAAAAAAGGTGGGGGGGGATAAAAACTTTATAGTCAGGTATATACACTAAGTTGGGGTCTGCTTTATGGTGAAATTAACCTTGTATTTTCCCTCACCAGGTTCAGAAGTCATTGTTTCAGTTTTAGTACAAGATATTAAATGCGGATTTATAAGACAAAGACAATCAAGCAGCACAATGTGTTCAAGCAAGCAAAAAAAAAAAAAATAAATAAAATAAAATAATTATTCAGGTTTATTTATTCAGTTAATTTTTTATTAAATCACCAAAAATTTGTTTTTTTCTTCCTGATTAGTCTTCCTTTTTATTTTTCAAAGCCATTCTTGCCATTTCCAAGGCGCCATCATATGTTTTGTTGCCACCAATAAATCCTGTTGCATGAACAAAAATACAATCTTTGATTCCAGATTTTTCAGACAACTTCTCATCTCGAAGCCCACGCCATTCTTCAGGTAGCGAAAGTCTGGAGGGAAAAGAAAAAAAGTCATTGATAACATTTTCACCTGGACGAAAGTAGATATTCAAGAACAGAATATGGAAACAGACCACAGGATCCTTTATCAGTTTTTCACCAACCAAACAAAATCACCCCAGATTTTATTTTCTTGTTTGCATTATGCAATTCTTTTTAACATCAAAGGCAACAAATGGAACAAGCTTTCTCAGCGGCAGACATAGCAAATCGATTCAATATAATCTTTCCACTTCATGGCAGCAGGAAACCTTAGCTCAAGAAAGTGCAATGAGTCACTCTCCTTGAGGTAAGCATCAGCCATACTGATAGAAAGCAAAAACGGTTCTCACAGACGACAGAGTGTAGTTTTGTTTTGAAGGTGTTAAAATTAACAAGACATCCTTTACCTCAGTTAACAGAATGTAGATCATTTTTGAGATAAAAAAAAAAAAAAATGTTAGCACAACCATTGACATCTGAATAGTTTGATTGAGCCAATTTTATTTCTAAGTCTTGGATCAACCTGTACTATCGTTTTTAGGTGCTTCCCAACAGAGCTACATGCCTAATTATATTGACCCCCAGGAAGTCAACACTCTTCTGGCAAATTGATCATTGTGAAATTCAAACTGGGGTCTTGCATATTTGTCAATACTACTGCTCTCACCATACCCCCATATAGTGATTTTCCAAGCGTAGCTTAGATGTGGCACAAGGCCGGAAGTATGGGGGCACCCAGCGATGGTCAAATTCACTACTCAGTCGTAATTGTTCTAGCAAGACAAGCTTGTTAACCATTACACCACCTCAAGGTGCCCAACCATACCCCCATATATATGTCTAAAATTTGCTATATTTATAGAGTACTCAATATCAGATCAGTCAGTTATGTGCCATGCATGATACACGCTTAGGCGATCATGTATCTTTCAATACATGACTGACGAGGCAGATTTTTTCCTGCAGTAGGTTGCCATTTCTTTCTGCAGTAGACCAGTTGCCATCCAATGCTATAGAACCCCGTCTGTCCTGCTATTTACCCATAGCTTTTTGAGAAGAGGATTCATACCTTTCCCAAGTGAATATAATGAATTCGACTGGAATTCAAACTAGGCTCTCCGATTCCTTAATCTGAGCTGCTATCCATTCTTCCACTGTGCCTCTCCAATACCAGATAGGGCATTTATAAATAGAGACAGTATGGACATAGGAATCAACACTGCATGGTGACTAAGTCAAACAAGTCAATTTTCAGTTATCTGTTTTGGATATGACTTGTTTTTTATGTCCATCGTCTTTGTCAAATTGAACTGAATTGTATTTTAATGAATATTGTCTTGAAGAAGGTTTATTAAACCCGAAACGTCAGACGTCGACATTTCATTCATTTTAAACAACATAATTGCATTTAAGGATTTTTGGTTTGTTTTTTCCAAATTTTTCTTCATATATATATATATATATATATATATATATATATATATATATATATATATATATATATATATATATATATATATATATATATATTTGTCTAGTCACTGAGGAGCTGTGATACAGCAAAACAGTACTGTCTCAAGAATGACACACATATATACATTTTTTTATTTATGTTTAACGTTCTTTTTATAGATACAAGTATTTAAGCAAATGCTCTGTTTATGATAAACAGTATTAAATAACATTTACCGCCTGAATGTCCGAGAAATTTTCATAGAAAATTTTCGTTCTTTGACAGGATTCGAACCTGCATCCTATACGGAACCGTCATATACGCTGACGTGCCTTACCGCTTAGGCTACAAAGAAGCGTTCGGTAGACAAGGTCGAATTTACTGCTTATAAACTCAATTTTCCATGAATCTCGTACATTCATATAACTGCTCTGGCGTGTCGAATGTAAACAAATGACGTCATATATTAAGAAATGGACAAGGTCCGACAATTTATTTATTAAAGACATATTTTATGTTTAACGTTGTTATTTTATAGATACAAGTATTTAAGCAAATGCTCTGTTTATGATAAACAGTATTAAATAACATTTACCGGCCTGAATGTCTGAGAAATTTTCATAGAAAATATTCATCCTTTGACAGGAATTTTCATAGAAAATATTCATCCTTTGACAGGATTCGAACCTGCATCCTATACGGAACCGTCATACTAAAATACTTGTATCTATAAAAAGAATGTTAAACATAAATAAAAAAAAAAATGTCTTTAATAAATTGTCAGACTTTGTCCATTTCTTAATATATATATATATATATATATATATATATATATATATATATATATGTGTGTGTGTGTGTGTGTGCTGGCACAAATATGTATAATTTATTTAATTACACCTGAACCTTTTAACTAATTATTTAATTATGTGTTCTGCTCAAAATGTTCTCGTTCTTTTCCAAAACACATTTCAATTCTGTGCCTGCCTGATTCATTAACCCGTCAGTTTGTCTTTAGCATATCTGATAAATGACCAATTCCAAGAGGCCCCACAGAAAAAAATTCAAGGGTGTGAGCTCTTGAACTATCCCTTAAACCCTATGGCACACAACATTTCCATCACCCTGTATACGTTTTGAACATTAAGGTTTTTATTTATTGCAACATTGTCACAGAATTAAGATGTCAGTATAGAAAATTTAAATTTTTAAAATTTAATTTGCATATTTAATACAAATTTGTAAATGCATATTCTGTTAATAATACACTATTCTTGTCTGACCCTGAAGGGCAATAACATTGTGAAACTTTCAGTCAGTCATATGTAAGTATTTTGAATTTTTTGAAGCCTCCTGATGAGTGGACTGAACAATTACAAAAGTATTCGTCTATGGAAGATATCACTCAAAGAGAATACAATAAAATACATGAGCTGGTGTACTGTGTGACTTAATTTTGAGAAGTCGGTTGGTCTACTAACTTTTCAGAACCCACTTGCATTTGCAGAAATCAACATGCATATATGCTGTCTGTATCCAACCCTTTTGATTGATTGTTTAATGGTACATCAACTTCTTATGGGTCATTTAATTTTCTTGGGAGCTTTGAAATAATAAAAATATGATATATGTTATTCTGCTTTCACAATTGAATACATGGTAGATGGTACTTAGCTTTTTTACATATACATGTTTGTGTGGATATAATTACTAGAGGCAGTGACAGGTGTGTTTTATTTTGTACAAGTTATATTTTGGAATATTGTTTGATTTTTTTAAAGAAATTGTATGATATTTTATTGATTAATGTCATGAAAAAGTTCCTTGATGTTGGTTGGTTTGATTTTGTTTAGTGGCATATCAAGCTCTATCAGTTATTTAATGTTGAAATCTAAATATTTAAAACAATTTTATGGCTTCAACTAAGCATATTTTGAGAGTAATTGCGTGCCTTCAATTACAGATAAAATGTATTGTTGGTCATTTTGCTATAAAAATGTATTATTGGTGACTTTTTTTTATGTGAAAGTATACTGCAGGTATTTTTTATACTTTTATAGCGTTTTATTTTTGTTTGGGAGTTCACCATTTGCTAGCACCCTAAGTCAAGGTGGACCTGAGAACAATAGTAATTAAGAGGTGATCGCAGGCTACTCAAAACCTCCATCTCCTAGACTTGCTGCTGGATGTAGTTTATCGTCATACCCAGGACAACCAACCATTTTGAATCTCCAGAGAACTAGTGGAGTGATGGGACAACCAATCAGGAGAGCTTCCCTTCTTTTCTTCCTTTCCTTTTTTCTGCACATGTATGGACAGACACTCTCCCATAGGGTTACTCAGTCAGAAGTGATATACTAAATGTATGAGCTGCTGTACTGTGTGACTTTTGCATTCAATTGATACTTTGCATCTAATGAAGTGGGGGGGGAAAAAAAAAAAAAAAAAAGCATTACCCAAGTCACTTACTCAAAGTGGAGAGAAAGTTTACCTACCTTGGACAGATTGTGTGTGTGTGTGTGTGGTTGGGATCTGAGTCTTACCTGTTTGAGAATCCTTCTGGATGTACAGGAACGCACTGAATCCTCCAATTGCCGACCAGATCAGTATAAAGGACATACTTAATACTGGGTGTGATTTCTTTTTCTTTTTCCAGAAGAAGCAAGTGATCCTTCCATGGACAACCCCCGGAGGTTAAATGTAAAATCTCGTTACTCTCATCTACCTGAAATTTAAAAAAAAAAAAAAAAAAAAAAAAGATAATAGGTAAATAAATTAAATCTAACAACAACATGGCAGGTTTTCATTTTTAATTAAAAGAAAGAAAGAAAGAGAGAGAGAGTGAAAGAAGTCATAGTACTAGTCTAGCAGTTTCATGTGAAAACAAATATTTCCTAGAGGCGCAGATCGCCAAATTGGATTTGATTTGAAAGAATGTTTAAATTTACGAAGAAAATTAATTAGTGATCAATGCACCTATATTATTTTCAATTTGGTTAATTAGAAAAAAAAAAAAAAAAAAAAAGAGTAGAGTCAAAAAAGGAAAACAAAAAGGAAAAAAAAAAAGAGGAAAAAAGTAAAAAGAAGGAAAAAGGGAAAAGAAGTAAAAAGAAAAGGAGAAAAAAAGAGTAAAAAGAGGGAAAAAAAGAGTAAAAAGAAGGAAAAAAGAAGAAAAAAGAAAAAAGGGAAAAGAAGTAAAAAAGAAAAGGAGAAAAAAAAGAGTAGAAAGAGAAAAGGAGAAAAAAGGTAAATGCAACAAAGAAAAAAGAAGTAAAAAAGGAAAAATGAAAAGAAAAGAGTAAAAGGAGATGAGAAGAAGCGTCGAAAAGGAGAAGAAAAAAGAATAAAAGGAGAAATGAAGAAAAGTGTTGAATTAGGCTAAAAACTTTCTGGCCATATCATATGATAATGTTATTTATTGCATCATCCTCAAAAATTTAAATGCACTTTCCTTGATATACATAGTATAAGCTTTTCCATTTTATCTCAGATATTATTCTACATCCTACTAACACCCTCACACACACACACATATATATCTCTGTGAGAGAGAGAGAGAGGGAAAGATAGATATTTCACTTTAACTGTTATTTTCAGTGGATATCCATATTTGAGTTGGCAGTGTGATTATTTGAAAGGTTATATTTATTTTTGTCTACCGGCCTGAATATTTGATAAATCTTATATAAAAAAAAAAAAAAATTCTCTCCCCACGGATTCGAGTGTGTGTCTGTTTGCAGAGAGTAACCATCATTAGACCAAACATATTTTAACTGACTGCCATGAAGGGCATCACCAATCAAGCAAAAATGAATACTGCCTTTAAGCACACTCCATCTTGTTTCAGGTTCTCAAAAGTACATACCTGCTCAGTTTTGAAAACATTAATCTACTTTCTAAAGTAAGGGATTTTTAATTACTTCACCTGAGATATATATATATATATATATATATATATATATATATATAAAGTGAACATTGAAGTCAACACTCAGAGGCGACAGGCTGTTTCATGCTGGACCATTGCGTTCAGCATGAAAACAGCCTATTGCCTCTAAGTGCTGACTTCAATGTTCCCTTTTATATTTATATACGTTCTATCTCTGATATGAGAACTTTATCCCATAAATATAGCACACCTTAAAACTGTTGTAGAGTGATTTCACAGTGGAGGCTTGTATTTGTACTAAGTCAGTCCTAAAATAGGTTCGATGTACAAAACGTTAGGAACTTGATATAATAGGTAATGACACAGTAATCTAGTTGTGGTGGCTGATACTTTAATATCCGACTAATGGTCGTCCGACATCAACTGACTGACCAACTCTCTTGAGCGACTGCTACTCATTATAGGTGGGAGAGTCTATTAACTATAGACTAGGTGTGTTCCACTATAACAAAAACACACATATATATATATATATATATATATATATATTTTGGCAATTAATACACTATGTCCCGGAAGAAAGAAAGAAATCTCTTGCCTGGGGGAAAGAAAAATATAAAAAAGTTAATCACAATGCCTCCAAGTCATCTTCAATGGAACCTGTATAAAAGAGATTGCTGCTCAAATATCCACGCACACATATCTTTTGTTCCTTACAAGAGAGTTTCATGCATGTGGCAATCATCAGGCATCAACTCGAAAACTGAACAAACAGGATAAAATGCATACTTATTATTCATATAACTTTTAACTCGGTTACTTTACATTGAGCACTGTGCACTAATTAAGAAAGCATCATGATCATACAGCCAACGATGCAGAATAATAGTGTAGATCAGGAGGACAGTGTAACTGGGTCGATACTCCAGTCGAATGACAAGTTGAAAAAGCATTTGATTTATATATACAAAAGGGTAGAATTACATATCATTATCTTGATGTGCGAATGACTTGTATGAATGGGCTTGTGGCCAAATCAGGTTGAAAACACCAGTTCCCGTATAATCACTGCAGTTAAGCAACATTCAGCCTGGTCAGTCAGTACCTAGATAGGTGACCACTTGAGAATACCAGGTACTCTAAAGCTTAGATGTGCAAGTGATGTAATGGATAATGGCTTGGAATTGTTAATTAAAGAGCCAAGTTTCAGTTCTAGTTGGGTGCATTATATTCACTTACATGCAAAGCAAATACCATTGAGAAAGGTATGAAGCCACCTATTCTCTCCCCAGCTATGGGTTAATTAGTAGTAAGAATTGTATCACTAAATTATTATTATCTACAAAAAAAAAAAAAAAAAAAAAAAAAAAAAAAAATAAATAAATAAACAAATAAATTCTTACAATTTAAAAATATTTTCTGTTTTTAAGTAACCTGTAATGGATTGATAAGCTATAGAAAATGAACTAATCAATCAATGACTTGTATGAACAGCAAAACAAATTTTGTTACCTTTTCCCGGCCTTCCAGAGCCTTTAAGACAATTTCTCTGGCAGGAAGCCACGATTTTTTGTAGAATAAAATTCGATCAACAAACTCATCTCCAACGAGTTTCATGGCTTTCCTGAACAATTCCTGGAAAAGAAAAAAATCAATTAATTTTAGATAAGATTTAGGAATTTTGGCAAGGGAAAGACATCTTTAAACAGATATAAAAATAATCTGTAAGGAGTACAAAATTTTATTAAGGCTTTAAAAACATATTTTAGAATTATATATCATCCGTTCGGCGTTTGCCGGAGGAGGGGCATATTCAACATTTGATAATTTTGCAGCAATACACACTTAAAGGTTTTAGGTAGTTTGATCAACATTTTTTTCATGGTTAGCTGTAAGGAATTGTGAATGTAGGACTACCTTACACTTAAGTAAAATAATAACAATTATAATATTAAGAATTTATTACAGGAAATATCAAGTTTTATGGAAACATTGTTGACAATTATATATTTAGTTACATAACAAATAAATAAAAATAATATAAATTTTGATGCTATATTCAATTTGTTGTTATTTTTCATTTTCCCCCTTTGTTATTGGCAGCATTTTAGAATACTTTGGCTGCAATACTATACTGCAATTTCCTAAGTTGAACAAACTGGAGCTATTTTGTTTACACTTTAACGCTCTTTTCCATTGTTGTTTTTAGACTCCTTTCTTCCAGTCAATTTGATAGGCAATAGTGAAATTCTGAAATTTAGAATGATCTTATTCCATTTCAAAAATAGAACCTTAAAAAGGAATATTTTAAATTAATATACAACCAAAAATAAAATACTTTTGACAACCCCCCCCCAAAAAAACCTCAATAATTTCACTATAATTATGTAACAATAATATGATGATATTCCACAGACAAATCTATGGTTTATGTTACATCATCTCATTGCATGGTTACAAACTATAATCCTAAATGGAGCTTGAAATATTGTGTAATCAGCTCTAAGTTTTTGTAAAATACTTGGATATGATGTAATAATTTGCAGTGAAAAAAAGCAATTTTCGATTTTTTATTGAATATGCCTCCTCCTCCTCCTCTGCCAAACACGTCTTATAAAATATAAAAAAGATATAAAAGAAAAGAGGAAGAAGAGCAAGGATAAAAAAATATTAGTGAAGTGAGGGATGGAACAGCAGAAAAACAGAAGAGAGAACAACAACTACAAAGACGGATATAACAAAGAAAAAACAACAACTGTGACCCTATATGACACTGGCTAATGAGGAAAAAAAAAAGTTAAAACTAAAATATAACTTGGAACAAGATGAAAAGGCTTAAAGATTAATGATAGATTGACAGAAAGAATAAAGATTTTTTTTAATTTTAAAAGTCTATTTTTCTTTTTTAAGCAGAGACAGAGCTTGAAAAAGGTAATTTTGTTGGAAAGATATTACCACAGGGGCCATCTGGTAAAGCCGGGTTGATGATTGATGGTGCTGTCTTAAAAGTGAAAGTTAAGAAAACATCTCCAAGGAATCAGTCAGGAAAGGAAGCTGATTGAAGAGATGATATTTGGCGATTTTAAAAGACAAGGCAAAATTAAAAAACTGATTTATTTTGCCTATCAAAAAGTGGAAATTGTAAACAAGTTCAGAAAATAGAATTTCTTTATATAAGAACCCAACCTTGGGTTCTTAAAGTGTGATGACCCTAACAAGATGGGGGAGATAAGCTGACTGGAGGAAACAGCTGGTAAATTTCTGATTGTATAAACAAGACCAGTCTGGGAAATATTTGCTGATGAGAAAATTAAAATGATAATTCTAATTAATGGCCAGAAACTAAACCACGCCATGCAGTTTGAGAACCAGATTTGTCAAAAGGACAACCATGGTGACAGGTCTAAGTGAAATACCAAGAAGGATGGAGGAACAGTCTACACCCATTGGAAGGTGTTGGTATAAAGCACAAATAAGAGAAGGAAGAAGTTATTGGGGCAGACTGATACCTGTGACTGCTGCCCAGAGGAAAAGGGACCTCTCCAAATTTGGAGATTAAATTAATTTTCCAGAGCCAGACAACAAAGGATTCTTGTTGGAAGATAGTGAAAACACTGGGTCCCCTAACCATGTCGACCCCATGCTAGTTTTGGGTGAAAGTCAATATGAGCAGAACACTGAAGTGACCAAGATAGTTCCAGAGATGCTAGTTCCAGAATGCAGATGACAAGAGACAACTACTCTGCTGAATTCTATGTGACTTGCTGACAGAGAGAACCTCCAACTTGAGGATTGTTTCAGACTTAGCTAAACTGAGCAAAGTGTCACAATAGAATTCAAACTTGGAAGGGTTAATATTTCTGTACAAAGAACAATATAAACTGCATCGACAATAGTTGAGACATTCAACTATTTGGATATCTTGGAAGTTTTAGAAGTTAAGATGAACTTTATCAGATGTATTTTTATTGGAACATTCACTTGGAAAGAATTCTAAGATTTTCTTACATCTTCATCAAAGTCGTCCTCGTTCCAACGGGGATTTAAATGAGCAACTCTTTTGGAAATATGGGTGGAAATATGGTACCTGAAAATAACAAGAGACAAAATCTGGATGAATTAGGAAATGAGATGCCTGAAGATATGAAAATCTGAGCCTCACAGGAAGGACATGATAGATTCATACACTTCTTTTGGTTTTATTCAAATTAAGTAGGTATATATATATATGAAAAAATATAGTTTTAAAGTGTGCTGTATTTATATGATAAAGTGCTCAATATCAGAGATAAAGTGTATGTAAATTTAAATATAAAAGTGAACATTTAACACTGAGAGGCAACAAAGTGTTTCATGGTAAATGCAATCATCAGACCGCGAGTGTTGGATTTTTTTGACTATATATATGAATTCTATATATATGTCAAGAAAAAAATCCAACATTCGTGGCCTGACGATTGTGTCTACCATGAAAAAGTCTGTCGCCTCAGTGTTGACGTCAATGTTCACTTTTATATATATTTTCTGTCCATACGTTGGCTAAACTGGAAGTTCTGTGGGCTTAATGACAGCTCTGTATAGGATACAAGTTTGATTCCTGTTGGAGAACACATATTTTCTGTGTAATTTCTTGAATATTCAGGCTGGTTAAAAAAACAGAGCATTTACTCAAATATGTATATCAAAAAAAAAAAAAAAAAAAAAAAAAAAGAAGAAGAAAAGAAACAACCAGTACAATAAGAAATAAGGTCGCCGCAAGTCAATCCAGTAGTGAGTGCTACTATTGGAAGGTTGGTAGTTTTTGCATAAGTGTGAGTCGTACTCAACAGATCCCAGCTAGTCTCTGTAGTCCATTGATTTACAGATACCTATAGGTAGTTACTATCTATAGTGTAGTCACTCATGGGTATGACAGGTTATTCCATTACATCAGAAGCCATGTCACACTGGTGAGAAAGTGAGTGAATTTGAGATGCCAAGTCAGGATTGATTACATTAGAAAAATTTGAAGGTAAAAGCTTGAAACTTTGCAACTTTACTAATTTTGGGATGAGAAATTCCAAGATATTTTATTTTTTGCCTTCTCTGTAATATCAAAAATTTTGTCATAGATACATTTTAACATGGATGAAATTATGCAATTTTCAACTCACTAAAAAGGACAGACAACAACAAAATTTAGAAATTTGTTATACAAAAGAAATCAGAAGTCTTTATTTTTTTTTTGAAGCAAATTTTTATTGTAAAGCTTTAAACTTCAAAAATTAGAAATGAGCAAGAAATATTTTTATCTCAATTGACAGAAGAGATTTTCTAGGCAGATTTAATGGTTTTCCTGCAGTTCCTCTCCCTCCTTAGTGATTTGTAGTTAGAATTTTCTTTTTTATAGGCTTCTGCTATAGTAAATATATCTGGAATATTCCAAATCCTACCCTCATTTGAAATTTGCATTATATTAAAATCCCATCTATAAACAAATGTTGACCCCACTTGTGCAAGATCATCTAACAAAGGCCATCAAAAATAATCATTTCTACCTTTGGATGGAGATAAAAATTTTATTACAGCACTGGATAGAGATGTAACATCAGTGTCTTCGCCAATGTAAAAGTTGGTGTCATCGTATACAGCAACCCATTGTCCTTGGCGCTTGTAAGTGAAAATAATTTGAGTTGGTTCTTCATCACAACTGCTGGAGTTATTTGAATGCTCAGCAGATTCACTGAGTGAATTTTCTTCCTTTTTTGTTGGTTTGGGCAAACAGGTACAAGATCTTAGCCAGGGATCACCCATAGGTAACAATGGTCCGGGGTACCCTAATTCTGTCCCCGAGTCAAGACTTCATTGTCTAGTGTAGTTTTAAGTCATACTCAAGACATTATATATATCACACACACACTAATAATCTTATAAATATAAGCAGCTATACTCGCTCGGCAAAACCTTTGTTTTAGTTTGTAAATGAACAAACCAATACCCAAGGGAACCTAGGTAGGTTTGTCTGGCTCTTTTTTAGGTTTACTTATATATATATATATATATATATATATATATATATATATATATATATATATATATATATATATACACACACACGTGTGTGTGCCATTTTTTAATTTATTTTGTTTAAATGTTATTTTTTGATGGAAACTCATATTAGAGTAGAAGCTGTTTTTTTTTTTTTTAACCTTTACCACACTAGAGTCAAAAATTGTCACTGTAGAATTCTCCCTCTTTGTAGATGCAGGCACATTCTGTTGCCTTGAGATGGTTGCTATAAATAAACACTTGTTATTTCTGATATTTTAAGCTGGAAATCACCTACTACTGCCTTGGGATGAGGTTAAGTTTCTGTTTTCCAACGCTTATTTGAATTCTTCTAAAATCTACAAGGTGTAACATTGATTAAACCCACATTAATTTTTTAAAGATTATTTGTAAACAAGAATGGCTATATCAACATCCAACGAAGCCTTTATTTGGGAGTTTTTCTTTGATTCAAACTCTGATGATTTTGAAAGCCTTACTCAAGTGGATATTGACGGAGAAGTGGTTGAAGATGCTAGTGACATGATGGAAAGTGATGATGGCCACTAGGTGCCAAGCATCTACTATCAGCCATAGCTGACTAATTTTATGGAAACTACTGGCGACCATCGATGTACCTGAGAGCCTTTCTGAAGGTGAATTATCTTGTCTATTTAGAAATGACAAAATAATAACTTTATTCATCGAGAAATAAATATGCTAGTCAGGTGAAAGGAAGACAAAACAAATGCTGGTATCTTTTTGTATGTAAACACGCTACTTTTTTGACAAAATGATAGCCTTTTTAGCGATTTTGCTTCTTATTGCACCCCCAGAACTCCATAAGGTGTAATAAAAGTTAAAGTATGTTAAATTGTTAATGTATTTATTTTTTATTTTGTGTTTCAATCTTTTTTGTTTTCAACATGCATGCAAAATGTAATGCATTACATTAAAATATTACTCATCCATTCTTTTATTAGTATACAGAAAATAAAATCTATACACACAATACAAAAAAAAAAAAAAAAAAAAAAAAAAAAAAAAAAAAAAAAGTTATAATTTTAAAACAGTAGGTGTTCATATTGTGCCGTCACAAAAAACAAAACAAAAAAAAAACAGCGGCAATGGGGAACAATTCTAGAAAGAATTCTAGGTTAATAAAACAGTATTTTTTTCTCAAACTACCACTACCCGCCTGAATATTTGAGAAATCTGGTCAGAAAAATATGTCTTCTGGCAGGATTCATATCTGCACCACCTATGGGGCACCGTCATTGGATCTGATGTACCTAACTGCTCAGCCATGTAGGACATACGGTCAAACAAAGCCTGAATAGTGCCTTTTGAACCCACACATACACAGTTGATTCTTGAAACATATTTCATTTTTTATATAGACACTAGCAGTAGAGCCCGGTGTTGCCCGGGGATGTAACAGTAAGAGATAGATCAAGTATTGACCATCATAAAGACTGAAAATTAAAATTGACAAAGATTATTGTTTAAGGTTGACGGACGCGCATTACTTTTTTTTACGAATTGGTCAAACCCAAACTCAAACAAAAACATTGTTTTCAATCGTTATGGGTCTCCCGATTGAATAGAATTTTATTATAAACAATTGTCTTGTAAATGGAATTTTTAAAGCATTCTGAATGTAAAAATAAAGAAAAAAGTGTGCAAGACAATAAGAAACACTACCTGCCAAAAAAAAAAAAAAATAAAGTTTTGTTGAAATCGGTTGAAAAATGTAGGAAACCCAATCCCAAATATAAACGAACACACACACACAAACAACCTGGGTTTTATAATAAGTATAACTCATTATGAGTTGTCCCCCTTTCATGCCTCTTAATCGTGTTTTCAAATTGATTTCGTGCAAAAACAATTGTGTTTTTCCAATTTTTGGCACTGTCAGAACCACCGCAAGGTAATTTTACGTAGTCCTGTGAAGTTTTGTTGAAATCGGTTGAAAAATGTAGGAAATCCGATCCAATATATAAATGTACAGACACACACACACACACAACCTGGGTTTTATAATAAGTATGATTTATGTAGCTAAAATTTTATGGACACACAGACAGACATAAAAATAGGATTTTATATATCTTAATTTCTTTAATTCAGGCAAACTATTTTTTTTGTTACTTACTTTGGTTTTTCTTCCGTTTGGTTAATCCCATTGTCAATGCCGTCAATTTCTTCAACAAAATTCTCATAAATTTTGTCATAGATAATGTCTACAATGGCCGGGTCTTTGGGATTTAATTCCAGAATTTGCTCAATGATCCTGCGGCCATAGTGATAGTAAATGAGACCAGCACTGCTCAGTTTGGTCACCCACTTGAAATTCGGATTCAGGCTGTTCATACTCTCATTAAAAGTTCTGAAGAAAAGAAAGAAAAATAATAGCATGGAGATTATTATTATTTTTAACTTATGTTCACCGAATATAAGGCCCAAGAGCCACTTAAGGTAGAAGGTTACTAAATGAGGTCGTTGTATGAACATAAAAGAAGGATTGTTTTATTGATTTGTTTTTTATGACTTATCAACCCTTTGCAGGTTAAATAACCAAGACATATTTAGGATTGTAAGAATACTCCTTTCCTTTTTTGTGAGTGAATATTGCATTACCAATATTTAAGAATAACAATGATTTTTTTTTTCTGGATACAACTACTTAACCCACAGTTGCAGGTGGGAGATGGATTCATACCTTTTCACAAGAGTATAAGTGAATGTACTGAACAAGCCCAACAGGAATTGGAACACAGCTCGACAATTTCTCATTCCGAGCTGATATCTATTACACCACCTGCACATCCACAAGTAAGAGGAAGAGGAGGTAAGAAGTGCAGTTTATGAGGATATGTAGGAAAGATAATGGTTAACTCTTGACTTGAAGATTGTTGTTATTAGGAGGACATGGAGGGTTAATTATGGAAGAGAGTGATTTCCATGAACATGGTCAGGAGAATGAGAACGATCTTGAATGGTGGATTGAATAAAAGGTTCAGTTTGAAATTCTTGGAAGGTTACCAATTATGATGACACCCAAAGAAAACCAAAATGAGGATACGAGTTTAAGTAAATTGGTCTATAGTAATGATAATTTCTCATTTAATTAATAACTAAAATGCTGGTATTATTAACAATCAAGACAAGGACACCATTTTGAATAAATTACTCTACAATAATGATAATTCTTCATTTTAGAGAACTATTTTAGCCTTACATGGCTGATGCTAAACTCCAGAAAGCAACTCATTGTGCCTTCCTGGGTTCACATTTTCTACTGATATGAAGTGGAATGATTATATTGAATCAATCCCTAGGTAAGTTGGTTCACTGTTGTTTTAGACAATTTTCTAATTTCATGGTAATTTCTAAGTTCAGTTTCCTTTCTCATTTATAGAACTCTCTTCCAGCTTCTTGCCTTTCATTAAAGTTCAATCTTCAAAAATTTAAATGTAATGTCAATCGTTATCTTCTGTCTTCTTAATTCCAGTTCTTTTATTGTCCTCTCTCATTAATAGTAGTTTTTCTCATATTCTCTAACACTCAGTAACCCCCTTGCATCTTAGTGGCTTTATTGCCTTTGATCTTAAAAAATTTAAATGCAATGTCAATCGTTATCTTCCATCTTAGTTCCTGTTCTTTTGTTGTTCTTGCTCCTTAATGTTTTTCTTTTTCTCATATTCTCTAACAATCATAGTAACCTCCTGTGTCTTAAGAGCTTTATTGCCTTTCTTAGGGTGAAATGATTAAACAAAAAAAAACAAAAACAAAAGACTTATGTTTTGTGCTCATAATAAAGTAAACTGAAATGCTCAACTGTCTCCTGCAAATCTTCATTCATATTCCTTCTGTTCAAAAACATGACCTCCCACCAGGGAAACCAGTGACCAGGTGATGCAATTTAAAGATTGAATGGATTAAAATATTCATTTCCTAAAAAGAAAGGAGGTTCAGATCCCAAAAATCTGAAGGCTGAGCTCTTAATTCCAAGAGTTATAAATCAGTCTCACATGTACAATGTCAGAAAAATCCAGAGGTCTAAATCAAAAAGCTTATTGCGGGACTCATCACTTTATATTTTGTTCAGTAGGCTCATGAAATTATCACAGGTTTCAAATTCTGTTTTTCTGATTGGTGGAAAATAATCTGGATGATAACTTATCTTCTCAATCCTTTTTTCTAGAATATTCCTTTTTTATTATCCTGGGCCATAAACAGAATAAAGTTAAAGTAAGTAGCATCAGATCCCCAAAATCTGAAGGCTGAGGTCCTTATTCCAAGGGTCATAAATCATTTTTGCATGTCCAACGTCAGAAAATGTCGGAAGCGTAAACAAAACATGTCTTAATTAGTTTTATTTTGTTTTTTTGTTTTTTTTACGAATTGGTCAAACCCAAACTCAAACAAAAACATTGTTTTCAATCATTATGAGTCTCCCAATTGAATCGAATTTTATTATAAACAATTGTCTTGTAAATGGAATTTTTAAAGTATTCTGAATGTAAAAATAAAGAAAAAAGTGGCAAGAGAATAAGAAATACTACCTGCCAAAAAAAGTGAAGTTTTGTTGAAAAATGTAGGAAATCCGATCCCATATATAAACGAACACACACACACACAAACAACCTGGGTTTTTATAATAAGTATAACTCGATATGAGTTGTCCCCCTTTCATTCTCGCGACATTGATGCCTCTTAATCGTGTTTTCAAGTTGATTTCATGCAAAAACAATTGTGTTTTTCCAATTTTTGGCACTGCCAGAACCACCGCAAGGTAATTTTACGTAGTCCTGTGAAGTTTTGTTGAAATCGGTTGAAAAATGTAGGAAATCCGATCCAGTATATAAATGAACAGACACACACACAACCTGGGTTTTATAATAAGTATGATTTTCAAAATGACCACACCATCTGTAGGGTGAATGGCCATGGTTAAATATAAATAAATGGCAGAACTGCCCAACAAACAGAATTGACAGTTTGCAATAAACAATAACAAGAAAAAAGAAAAGAAAAAGAACAGAGTTAAAAAGAAAAAGAAAAAAAAAAAAAAAAGCAAAAGCAAACAATATATACCTGGTAAATTAACAGCAATATAACAAACTTTATAAACTAAGAAATGGGGTTGACACACAAGAGCAAATTTGGATAAATGTAGTATTCTAACTTCAAGGCAAGACAGACTGGGACTGAGTCATATGAAAGCAAGAACTGGTCTGTTTTATTGGCTAGGAAGAAATCCCAGTATGCATTTGTCTATAAATTGGGGAAGGGAAAGTGTTTTGCCATCATTCCCAACAGGATTGGAACCAAAAACATCAATGGAAAGTACAATGCCAACTTTCTGGATCAGTTCGAAAAGGCTATTAAAACCAAACACTCAGGAAACCTGAAGAAGGGGATCTTATTTCACCAAGACAATGTCACAGCACACAAGTTCTCGGTTTTAATGACTACTGTGTGTGACTGTGGCTTTGAACTGGTTGATCACCCTCTCATCATCATCATTTGTCCCCCGACATGTTTAGGAACAAGTATCACAATGATGAAAGATTCATATCAGCTGTTGATGACTTTTTTTTAATCAACAGGATAAACTGTCTTTGAACAGTCAGTTCATCTGGAAAGAACCACTGCAGTTATTAATAAGAGTTGAGATTAATGCATGCAAGATTTTACGACTCTAGCAACACTCATTCATAGTTAGCCTATGAACTTTTCAGTCCACCTTCATATTTAAGTAGTGCTATTTTCTAATATAACTTTCTTCCATCTTTTCTCCCACTGGAATAATGAAAGGCCAGTTCTCAGTGTCATCTGACTCAGTCTGTCTTGCCTAGAAGTCAGAATGCTATGTTCACTTATTCGAATTTGCTTGTGTGTCAACACCAGTTCTTAGTTTGTGAACTATTTGCCATGTAATAATGATTTCTCACACATCTTTAGAAGATAAGGAGATGAATTCCTTCCTTTTAAGTCCACTCAGCTATGTGAGTTTCCTGGGAATTTTGTTTCCAGTCTGTCTAAGTAAACTTAAGTGTCAGTTTTTTCAGGATTCATGTCTCCAGTTCACCTTTGAATTGGGAAATGAAAATTTTTATCAATGATTTTAGATAGTCATCTTTTGAAGATTTGATCGCACATGTGGCTTTGGGGTGGTCCCAAACCTAGTGGATGGAGGGGGTTAGGACTCCAGGATTATCCATATAAGCAGAAAGAGGCAGGAAGTAAAGAAAAAAGTGGGGCTCCAACCATGAGAGAAGTAGGTAGGTAGGTGACCCAGCAGCCAGTGACAGAATCACCAGATTTAGGTAGGGGTGCTGATTTCACTCTCAGGAAATGATCTCTAGTGGGAATAACTGCAAAACACTTTTCCCTCCTCAATTTATAGGCAGAAGCACACAAATGCATACTGGGATTTATTCTGAGCCAATGAAATAGGCCAATTCTCAGTGTCATCTGACTTGGTCTCGGTCTGTCTTGTCTAGAAGTCAGAATGCTATGTTCACTTATTCGAATTTACTTGTGTATCAACTCCAATTCTTAGTTTGTGAACATTGGAGATGAATTTCTTCCTTTTAAGTCCACTCGGATATTGGAGTGTCTTAGAAATTTCATTTCCAGTCCATCTTGAGTGAACTTAAGTGTTAGTGTTTCAGGATTCATGTCTCCCTTTGAATTGGGAAACAAAAATTTTATAAATGATTTCAGATAATGACACATGGCACAGTGAATAAAGGCGTTGGTTAGATCCAGTGACAGGACCCAAAGAGCATGAGTTCAATACCCGGTTAAGGCAGTGGAGAACTTTCAGAGGGAAATTAACAGTAGATAACTGATATCCATCAAACATGGCATGTGGAACTAGAACAGTCTACCCCAGTGAGCGAAATAAAGAGTTCATTCCAACCAACTGAAGAAGGCCAGAGCATACAACAGCTGAAACGTTGTAATAAATATGGTGACAAAGATGAGGACAATAGTCCGAATAATGTGATAAAAGTAGTCCTATGAAGATCTGACCACCCATGTGGCTTTGGGGTGGCTCCAAATCTTCCAGAAAGACAAGTGAATAGAGGGGGTGGGACTCCAGGATTATTCATATAAGCACAGAAAGACAGGAAGCCGGGAGGAAAGAGTCTCCAGCCATGAGAGAAGTAGGTAGGTGACCACAGGATTTAAAGCTGCTCAGCGGCCATAGACAGAATGACTGGTAGTGAGGAATCAGGAGTCGTTAAGGTTAGCGTAGTTAGTAAGATAGCAGTCCACGTCTCAAAGCCGAAGAAAGGATCCAATGTTTAAGTGAGAAATATTTTTGTTACTTCCCAACCAGATAGTCTTGAGAAACAATTGTCTTCATTTTTTTTTTTTGTTTGTTGATCACAAATGAGAGGACAGACCTGTGCACATTGCGAGTTGGGTGTATAAGCAAATACGCTCAACCTCAGATATCATCACAGGTGCAGTGAGCAATGAATGATCACAATTTTGCCACGAAAGGTGTCATAACGGAATGGTCCATTATTGATCTGAGGTAATGGCGGATAGTAGTGCACATGTAAATGGAGAAACAAGCAGAATTATGACAAACATTTCTTACCTTTGATGATGATCAAATTTCAATTTTTTCTCATCGTACACACCACCAACATCCACCACGATATCACACTCGTCTAGTTTGCTGCTGTCTCGAGTTCTGTAACAGAAAAATTTTAAAATCTCAGTCATAATTTTACACATGCAAAAGTGAAAATCCTGTAAAGGAATTACAAGCACAAAGAAAAGGTGTCTTCAATTTATGTTAGTTAGGAGGTCATCAATTGTAGACAAGTTGTTTCTCGTACAACAATGTTCGTTTGTACCATATATCGTTATATTTGGTTTGGATATGTATTGAGCTTAAGTAATGATTAAAAGAAAATGAACAGAGTGTTGATGAATACAAAATAAATCTTTATATAACAATATGATAATCCAGTGGGAAGGTCAAAGTTTCAAGAGTTCAAGTGTAAAAAGTCACATATACTAGCTTAAAAGCTGCCCTATCTGGTGGCATTTAAGCTAGCTCCTGCAGAGGGATTTTATATATGTTCAAATGTTGTAGCTGCTGCTTGAGCATTGGTTTGATTTTGCTGATTTTGTTTAGCGGCACATCAACATCTGTATAGGTAATTTAATGCTGAAATCTATTCTGTATGCATTTTTATGGCTTCAAAGATGGGTATTTTGTACATAATTTTATACTTTCTAGGTAAGTGCTTTTTTTTTTTTTTTTTTTTTGACGATATCGTTTGTAGAAGATAAAATGTAATGTTGATAATTTTTTTTTTTCAAAAATGTATTTTATACCTTTTTAATATTGTACTGCTGGACATCGTGGAGTAATGGATAGCAGCTTGGATTGAGGAATTGGAGAGACGAGTTCAAATTCTACTCAAATCCATTACATTCATTTATGTGCTGATATCCTTGGAAAAGGTACGGATCCTTTTCTCCTCCCAGCAGGATAGACTGAGTTCTATAGCCTTGGATGGCAACTGGTCTACCACAGAAAGAAATGGCAACCTACAGAGGGAAAAAATTTGCCTCGTCAGTCATGTATCAAAAGATACAGGATCACCTAAGCATGTATCACGCATGACACATAACTGACCGACTGATTGCTAGTGAAGTGTATTTTTATACTTTCCTAGTCTTGATTTGTTTTTTTTTTTTTTTTTTTTTTTTTTTTTTTTTTGGGGGTCACTATTTGCCCATAGCTGGGAGCCTAACAGGTACTACCACCCTGGTTCAAAGTGAACCTGAGAACAACAGTAAATAAGTGGTAATTTAATGTTTCTCAAAACCTTCAATCTCCAGATACAGTTTATCAACATACCCAGGATGCTGCTTGATCATGTAATGAAGGAAGGTGTCGATCTTCAATGTCGCAAGGATGGTTTAGACGTGTAAGGCTGTCAGCTAGTCATGAAAATAGCGAGGATAGTTTTAGTCATCCAAGTTTACCAGCTAGACATGAAAATGTATTTTGTCTTTGGTTATGTTATGATAACTGTAGCACTGGAAAATGGACAAAATTAATTTATTGACTGGTTTTTGGTTGATTTTCCATCTGGATATACACCTCTATTGATCTGCTTTGAAAAGACTGTATGTTTATTATGTCTTATTTTTAAAGATGGGGTCTTGTTATTTCTCTATCATCACAAGCACATCCAAATCAACTTTAAAAGGAAAATATTAATTTTATTTTCAAAGTGTCTGCATTAATGTGCTTCATCAACCTGTGAAGGATGATGAATACTTTCAGTTAAGGTTACTTTAATATTCTTATATCAGCATCCACTGGGAAGCTTGGAATTCATTTTTAAGGTTCATTCTTTAAATGTTCCACCACTTTATCTTGTGTACATTGAAGACTCAGCAGATTGTAGTTATCTCCCCTTTTAGTGATGAAAGTTATCTCCCCCCCTTTAGTGATCGATAGTTTTGGCCTACATTTATATATAGGGGCAAAGCCTGGGCACTTCAACTTGATGTAATTGTTGCAGGAAATTAGTTACGACCAAGTAGTGAGTTTGTCGGTTGTCCCATATCTACGGCCTTGTACCAATCTAAGCTATGCTTAGTAAATTGTTTTGGGCACTTAAACTTGGTGTAATGATTAGCATGTTTGCCTCACTAAATCAATTATGTCCGAGTAGAGAGTTCAATTCTTACTGGGTGCTTGATATTTTCAGCCTTATGCAACACCTAAACAAAAAATTCATATAGTGCAAGCCTTATCACAGATATATTTTGTTCGTTCCAATGGCTGGCGTCAAAATTATGACTGTTGATTTTAAAAGCAAGCAGGTAGACATTAGCTGGAAAAAATGGTACATTTTCATATTTGTTTTATGCCAAATTCAGCTGATGTGTGTTCACACACATTTTTTTTATCTAAAGTACCCCTCGCATGGTGGATAAATATTTATTTTTATGCAAAAATACAATTCTGTAAATGAAAAATTGATTCTCCCCTTTAAAAAAAAATAAAATCAATCACTTTAGGGAAAGAAATTAATGAGTTAATATAAAGAGTTTGGCAAATTAAAAGTTGTAGGTCATATAAGGAGAATCTTCATGGCATTGTTTCATATATAAGAAAAATATACGGAAAAAACAAACAAAAATTCTAATATGCAATTATGCTGTTTTAATGTTAATATGTCAACGTCAGATGTTTTGGTCTAGTAGACCATCTTCAGAACATATTCATAAAACATAATTAACAGACTATATTTAATTCAACATGAAAAGACGATGGACATAAGAGTAAGACTGATCAAAACAGACAACTGAAATTTTTCAAGATCAGCATTCCATTTCAATATGATTACGTTGGCGTCACGTGGGCGATGTGAAAACATATTCCTAAAATAGAGTATTTTGAATGAAAAATGAAAAGAATTTCATTTTAATCTAAAGCTTATATGTACGTTTGTCGAGCATTAATCTTGCTAGAAAAGGGGAAGTATTAAAGAAGCCGGGTCTAGTATTCACAACATCGCCCACGTGACGCCAGTGTTAAGTTATTTTGCCTCTAATATTAAAACCTTTTCTCATAAATGTATTTGATTTTTTGAAAATTTTGTAAATTTATACTACAATTTTTGATTTGCCCCAAAAGGATTGACAACATCAAAACTTTGAAATTTGTTATACAAACGGAATCAGTGATACATTTTTCAAACAAATGTTTATTGTAAAGCCTTAAAACTCAATTTTTAAATACCCCCCCCAAACACAAAAATCACAAAAAACACAAAACCAACAACAACAAAAACACCAAACAAATGAGTAAAATTACATTTATTGGAACTGATGAAAGACTTTCTGGGCAGTTTGAACGGCCCTACTGGTGATTTGCAATCTGAATTTCTTTATAACCAATATTTCTGGAACATTCCAGATTCTACCATCACTCGAAACTGGCATGATACCTAAGTCCCATCTTAGGACAAAAGTTGATGCAAACTGTGCAATATCACCACCAAAAGCCATCAGAAATGATGGTTTCCACCCTTAGTTGGAGCTACAAACTTGATTATTGCACTGGTTGAAGATGTAATATCAATGACTTGGCCAAGGTAAAAACTGAAATCATAATATATGGCAACCCATTGACCTTGTCACTCATATCTGAAGATCACTTGATATGGTTCTTCATCTTCACAAATACCAGAGTTAGTCACTGGGTCTTCAAGTTCCTGTGATGTAATTTCAATGGCAGTAAGATCAGCTATAAAAAAAGCACCATGGGAATAATTTAAAAAGGCTCTTTTCTTTGCTATTAAATATTTGTTGAACTTGCTTCATCAATTTTGACTTTTCCATCCTTGTATTAAGATAGAGTTTGCAGAACCATGCAAAAAACGTGCAAGTAAAAACATAATTCTTGTATCACAAAATAGGAAAAAGAGTTGTCCTTAAAGATTTTGTGAAAAATTTTTTTTTTTCTTTGTTAAATTGTCCTCTAAACCAGTGAGCTCTTTGCCCAATTTAAAATACACTTCAAACTCTCTCTCTCTCTCTCTAGAGAGAGAGAGAGAGAGAATAAAATTACTTAATTTGTATCAATTTGGCATCCCTATGAAAATGAATGATTATAAGGTGCATTTTAGACACTTCATGTTTTTGTAAGGGGGGGGGGGGTAAGGGCAAAAATACTTTGCAAGCAACAACAACAACAAAAAAAGACATGTGCTGTATACAGTGAAGTTGCTTTTATACAGTTTTAAGTTGGTGACAAAGAATATTCAAGCAGACCCCGACCCCCAACCCAACTACAGACGAAGACCAAATCAAATTCAATGATTGAGAATAACCTGCATTACACAATGCAGGATTTTGTAAAAAACACTAAATTCATCCAAATCACTACAATGTTTAGGTACCACATGATCGGAGGGAAAAGAATTTTTGGGATCACATTTCATCTGTGATTTGCTGTATAAACACAATGAAAATGCACCCCTTTTTTAAGCAAATGGTGACAGGTGATGAGAAATGGATCATTTACAACAATGTTCAGTGAAAAAGATCCTGGAGTAAGCCAACTTTAGCCACCCCAAAAGCAGGTCTTCATCCTAAGAAAGTCATGCTGTGCATTTGGTGCGATTAAAAAGGAATCCTGTACTATGAGCTTCTGCTAAGTAACCAGTCAATTGATTCTGGAAGTACTATTTGCGACTGGATGAATTAAAGGCATCAATTTAAGAAAAAACACCCAGAATTGGTGAACAGTGTTATACCAGAACATACCTATTCTATTGTTAATAGACTCTCCCAGATATAATAAGTAGTATTAGTAGCAGTCGCCAGGAGGCTGAGTGAGTTGAGTCAGTCAATGTTGGACATTAAAGTATCAACCACCACAACTAGATTGCTGCGTCATTAACTATTACTTCAAGTTCCTAACGTTTTGTACATCAAACACAATTTAGGACCGACTTAGTGAAATACAAGCCTCTACTGTGAAAACTACAACAAACAGAAAAGGTATTGTTTTACATCAGGATAGTGCCAGACCTTATGTTTCTTTGGTAAAACAGCAAAAATTGTTACGAATTGGCTGGGATGTGTTACCCAACCTTCTATATTCACAAGACATTGCTCTTTTGGATTTTCATTCAGTCGGGTCCTTGCAAAATAATCTCAAATGGTAAAAATTTTAATTCTTTGGATGACATAAAAAAAAAAAAAAAAAAAAAAAAAAACACCTTAATGAGTTCTTTGCCGAGAATCCAAAATTCTGGGAATATGGAATCTTTAAGTTGAAGAAAAAATGGAGAAAAGTTGTGCAATAAAATGGTTCATATTTAGTTGAACAATTTTGTTTTGTGCTTTAATTTCCCTTAAAAATCAGCATGAACTTTACGGAGAATCTAATAAATGAGAACTGCACTCAGATTACTGGGTGTTACTGTCAACCCATTAAGCAAACATTGATTTCTACATTCTTTTCATCACACAGCGTTTTTAACCGCATCAGCAACCTTTTTGTACATTACAAGGAATTAGAGGGTCTTCTTTGGCTTGCCTTTTTCACTTCCTCCAAAATCCTCAATCCAAGCCATTCCAGTCGAATCCATTACATTATGTGCTTAATACCCTTGGGAAAGGTGTGAATCCTCTTCTCCCTCCAGCTATGGGTAAATAGTCGAATCCATTACATTATGTGCTTAATACCCTTGGGAAAGGTGTGAATCCTCTTCTCCCTCCAGCTATGGGTAAATAGCAGGACAGACTGGGTTCTATAGCCTTGGATGGCAACTGGTCTAGGAAAAAGAAAACTGAATTCAAAACCTGCGAAGGGTAGTTTGGGCACCTTGTGGCACGTAGTGCACCAGGTCTCTGTAATCGGCCCTTCAAAAAGTGTGGATGGTCCTACACGAAACCTTCACCACTATAATCAAATCTCATGTGCTATACATGCGGAACGCTTGTGAATTCCAAATTCCCATGAAACTCCAATATTGGAGCTGGCTCAACCTACCTCGGGTGAATGCCGTTTCAAGAACAAGTAAGTTGCTTCTTTCACTTACAAGAAAACAATCTTTCAGGATGTTTATTTGATCATCCACTAAATAGAAGAATTTTAAATATTCATCATAAGTACTTGTCAATTTAAAAACCTAATGTAATCTCCAGGCATGGAGAGTACTAAAAACAATATCAAGAAAAACAGAAATAAATGTCTTAAGTTTAGGCATTTACTTTATAAAGAAAAATACAATAGAAAATTTACATAAAAATAAATGAACTCAATTTTTTTTTTGAATGGCAAGGTTTGCACTTGAATTGTTAAATTTAGGTATTAAAATTACCATAAAATAAAAACCTACTTTCAAAGTCAAAAAGTAATATTTACTAATTAATAAAAATTATTTTGTAAGAAATAAATTTGGTAGAAAAGTAAAAAATTTTTTCCAAGTTTATGTAATATTTTGAACCCACAATTAGTTCAACTGAATATCTTTTGGTTTATTTTATATAAAATGTATTGTCTAATCACAAATAATTTTAAAATAAATGTTCATTTTAATCCATGAAATTAGGAGCTAATCCCAAAAAATTAGTTGATAATTACTAAATAAAATAGACATTTTCAAAATCACAATATTTTATATACACAAGTGAGATTTATAAAAAAAAAAAAAAAAAAAATTATTAATATATACATACATTTTAAAATTACAATACTTTATTTCATTTTTTTTTTTTTACCATGGATAAATACGAGTGTAAAATTTAATCAAAATATATATTTCTAGTTTACCTCTTAATGCCTATTTACTCAGGCAATAAGTAATTTACTTTATACAACTTTAGAATAAACACCAAAAATATAAAATAAGATTTAAAACTCACGTAGAAACTGAAATGTCCATCGAAATAAGTGAAACAAGTCAGATCTAGAAGCTCTGGGCATATCAGTCAACGCAGCCAGTGAATTCAAAAACACCTTTTATATTTGCTTGAGCTTTTAGTTGTATATGGACATAGTGATATGAAATATATTTGAAATTGCAGTATCATGGTTCTCGATTTCAGTCCAGGTGGTTTTAAATGTTGCCATAGGACATGACTACATAACCAAGAAATTCAAATTCAACTTACATTGGCAGAACTAACATTTTGCTTAGTGAAAATAATCACCTACAGAGTGCTAAAGGTTCATGTTGAAAGGAGAGGTAGATAGAAAAGAGAGGATAAAAAGAGAGGAAAAAAGGAGAGGATAAAAAGAGAGGAAAAAAGGAGAGGAGAAAAAGAAAAGAGGAAAAAGAGAGGAAAAAGGAGAGGAGAAAAAAGAGAGGAAAAAAAGGAGAGGAGAAAAAGAGAGGAAAAAGGAGAAAAAAGGAGAAAAAGGAGAGGATAAAAAGAGAGGAAAAAAGGAGAGGATAAAAAGAGAGGAAAAAAGGAGAGGAGAAAAAGAGAGGAAAAAAGGAGAGGAGAAAAAGAGAGGAAAAAAGGAGAGGAGAAAAAGAGAGGAAAAAGGAGAGGAGAAAAGAAAAAAAGAGAGAGGAAAAAGGAGAGGAAAAAAGAGAGGAAAAAGAGGAAAAAAAAAAAGAGAAAAAAAGGAGAGAGAAAGAGAGGAAAAAAGGAGAGGAAAAAAGAGAGGAAAAAAGGAGAGAGAAAGAGAGAGAAAAAAAGGAGAGAGAGAGAGAGAGGAAAAAAAGGAGAGAGAGAGAGAGAGAGGAAAAAAAGGAGAGAGAGAGAGAAAAAAAAAAGGAGAGAGAGAGAGAGAGAGAAAAGAGAGGAAAAAAGGAGAAAATGATACGGCAACACAACTATGAGAGGATCCCCAGACAAGGCTATGTCGAAGGGCAGAGTCTCATCACGGGAAACAGCTACATGATCCTATTTTATACAGAGTCTATGGGGAATTTGGGGCTGGGCCTATGGGCTCGGATACCCCACATTAAATTTGGCCTTGTGTCTAATCTGACCGCGTGGAGCAGTTGGTAGATGTCCTGCAGTTGGAGATTCATTGTGGAATTTACTCAACTCACTTCTAGCAGTTGACTACTACTTCTACACACCGCAGGCAAATCTTGTATGTGTTGTTCTTGTCCTAAGTATTATCATCCATTTCCAACCTTCGTTTGATTATTTTATTCAGTAACTTTCCCTAGATTACAACACTTACAAAAGATAAATCCACTTACCTCACAATTGTAGAGTCTTTGTATTCTGGAAGCAACTGAATTAGGAAACATGCCATGACTTCATCACAGTGAAATGTTCCATTATGGGTTCCTATCTTTTTCGACATTTTGTTTCTCTTCACTTCAGGTTCATCTGTGGAACTGCCAAAGATTTTGAAATTAAAATAAGTTAATATTTAGTCAGGTTAAATCATTCCTAGCAGAGCTCCACATATATATTTTAAACCATTAGTGAAAACTAAATTTAACCAGCCTGAAAAATTTTACACCATCCCATCCTGAAATCAAAATGTTTTGTTTAATTGTGTGATGACAAAGGAGAAGGCCAAGTCTTACGGCAAAAGAGAATTTGTGATATCTGTCGAATAAAAGAAAATCAGAATCAACATTAAGTCAACTTTAGTAGGCCTCAAAATATGGTAATTGCTTGTGCTTCCCCACCAGTCTTTACCCTTATAAAATAATACTACTTTGGATGATAGAACCATGCCTCTCCATATTTTTGGAGTGTTGGGTGTGGGAGGGAAGAGAAGAGAAAAGGAAGTTGTGGATTTTTGGCCTTTTTAATTTACACTCATGCCATTTTCTGATGTTGGGTACGCAAGACTGTTTTATGAAGTAGAACCCTGAACTTCAGATTTTTGGGATCTGAACCTTCTGGTTGCTATTTACCTTAGGAAGACCCATGAAAATTTCTGTTTTCTGATTTGAATTTTTGGATAAATGTTAATTCTTCAATTAATGATTGAATAAGTTTATGGTGAGTTCTAGAACAATATAATAGAAATTCCCCTATCACATTGTTAAATATTTGAGCTTAACAACTAACAAAATATTGCAATAGCACTTTAAATATGAATGTTGGTACTTATTTTAAGAAGTGGGTACAAGTGAAAAAAAATTTGAAATTTACAACTTTTCCATCTCACGGAAACAGCCATTAAACCTTCCCTTCCTTCAATTTCTCACTGAAATCAAATAGTGTACCTCTTGTTTTTCAAGGCAATCAAAACAGAATAGTATGTTATTTATGAGGTATTGGCAGGAAATGTTAAAAACTTCTATCTTTCTTTCTTTCTCACTGAAACCAAGTAGAGTGTCCAATAAGTGTTTTGTCTTCCCACTTGATTAAAACAGAATAGTCCATTATTTACGAAGTATTGGCAGATGTTAAATACTTTTTTCTTTCTTTAATTTTAGCCAAATTCCTGTCATATGAACATTTCTTTTAATAACAACTAGCAGCATGGCCCGGTGTTGCCCATGCTTGATTCAAAAATCGTACAACTCATACAGCAATCGCTATCACTTGACTTAAAATATTTTTGCCCTTCCTTGCCTTTAAAGGAGTGCCCTTTGCCGTGCTGATTTTGCTACATGCCTTACTTCTTGCCTATCTCACACTGCGAATTTTTTCTAAGCTATATACTAAACATTAAATCTGTTATGAAAAAAAGAACTAAACAATATGAACATAAAACAATCAGCTTTAAAAAAGGACTCGTAATGGAAAAACTGAATGAAAAAAGAATGTTAACAAATACTTTTTCACATCCAACCCATTTCTGCGGAATCAGAATCAATGTTGAGTTTAAGCAAGCGAATGAGCCAATTGGAGTAAAGTGCCATGCAGATTTAAATTTTTCCCTTGTGACGAATGCAGCTATCGATTTTTTTTTTGCATGCTAGTATGCTAGTTAACATTAGTGTCAGTCAGCTGTTGGCTCTCACGTTGGCCAATAGAATCTTCCTGCCTATTTGTGGCAGCCACCTATAGGCTCTCACTCTGGCCAGTACAAAATGGCCGCAAACTACATGAAAACTGCCGTAGAAGCATGAAAAAAAATTGATTACTTCCATTATTGATGGGAGTTGGGAAATGCAAAGTCGGTCTTGGCCTTCCAACTAACGTGGAGCATGTGCATGTAAATTTTGGTGCAAATCCGTCGAAAATTGTGGCCGTGCATTCATTTCATATCACACACACACATTTATAGATAGAGATTTAAAAGACAATGTTATTTTTTAAAATTTTTAACTGGATTTTTGACGATTGTCTTGGGTTTCTATCATTCAATACTCAGAGTTTGAAAAAATGGTGCTTTATCAGTCGCCATAATTCTCTGCCTTTTGGTTAAGATCAAATTTCACTTTAACGGTGTAATGGTTAACAAGCTCGTTTCGTTAGATCAATTACAACTGAATACGGATTTCGATCTTCACTGGGTTCCCCATACTTTTGTCCTTGTGCCACACCTAAGCTACACTTAGGTAAATGACTATTCAAATAAAAAATTTCATGTTTGGACTTTCACTGAATAAATGAGATATTTCGGTTACACTGGTGCGACTGCTAGGAGTAAATGTATTGTTATGGCGAAAGGAAAATTCTATGGACGAATGGGTCAAGGAGTGAGACTAGCTAGGTTATGTTAAGATTACACAAGGCAATTACCCCCACAACCCATCTCAGCCCTTGTGGCACATTTTGTACCTTTTGTGCAAATAAATATAAAGATCAAAGCGTAGTATCTGTCATCAGCTTAAACCAATTTATATTCTCTTTCTCACCACTTCTATCTACCCTTCTTTCATTTTCTCACCGAGAATTCTTTCCCCTTTTTGCACACAATCAAAATTGAATAGTCCATTATTTATAAGGCATTGGCAAGGCATAGCAGTCATGTGAGCTAACAAAGAAAGGGACGAGCACAGTTATAATTATTATTTCCACATTCACAACGTTTTGGCCATTGTATGCTCCAGCCTTCTTCAGGTAATACAAGTTGGAATTTTGAACTGAACCCTTTAGTCAGCGGGGGTGGGGGTAGATTGTTCTAGTTCCACATGCCATGTCTTATTTGGATATCTCAGTTTCAGTTAATTCCCTTTATTAACTCAACTCTACAAGTTTTTGTTACCTCTGCTGTGGCCAGGGATTGAACTGACAACTTGGGGTCAAGTCAGTTTGGATTACTCAGGCATCTCTTACCTACTGGGCTACCACCTGAAGAAGGCCAGAGTGTACAATGGCAAAAAACATTGTGAATGTGGCAAAAAGGAGGAATACAAGAGTCTGAAAGATTTAAACAGTGTAAATATTAACCAGACCCACTTGTTATTTTCAAACCCCAAGGAGGTCTAATTTGTGTGTGTGTGTTAGAAAAGGGCTCTTTTAGTTTATATATATATATATATATATATATATATATATATGCATGCACAGGAAGGATGCAAAAGTTGATATGCAATAATGAAAAACGAAACTTATGCACAAAACGTACATTTCAGTCCTACATGGTGCATCAAACGCCCCAATGATCTGCGTTCAATACCCAATTCAGATGATGCCCTGTTTTTCGATTTCTGTGGGTTCTGGATGAATGCCTGAGCAACTTGCATTGCATTCTCTGGTGTTGTCACGGTGACTGGTCGACCACTCTTCGGTGCATTGTGTATAGATCCAGTCTGATCAAATTTGTCACGTATCCGGTAAATCGTGAGCCTCGTTGGTGGAGGTGTTGCAAATGTTTCCCGCCACTGTTTTCGCACACGTTCACTATTCTCCGTCTTCCAGTACTGTTTCAAAATCCATTTGCGCTCCTCGTCCGTTAAATTACCAGCCATCATTACATTACCACTTTACCTGCAAAACATTTATTATTATTATGTAGCGGAAATGAAAAGCAGACTGAGCTTCCCACCACCATCTCTCAAAGAGACAACGTCTCATGTACAGTCTCTGTAAAAAGAAAGAAAATGGCTGCCCAGCCAGAACAGAGCTGGTATGAACCCCAGGATGTCTGGGTATGGAAAAATAAGATATCTACCAGCTCCCCCACAAAATAGTTGGGATGGTGAGCAGAGCAGTGTTAGTTATGCAAATGATTTGTTCTGCTAGCCAACTGGTAATGTTTTGTGATCAATAAAAGCAGGTACATTATCTGAGAAGTAGTGGTGGGCAGTGATTTCTGGCCGACTTGAAATAGGAGTGTTATTCAGTGTCACCTAAAATTTTGTTCATCCTTGCTTCTGTTTCCATGTCTATGTTTCTCCCTTATGTGTGGTGTTCCTGGGTGGAAGTCCTGTTCATGCTCTTTTCGCTTTCATTTCCAGTGTTAATAATTTTTCTGTCCCTCCCAAGTTGCGAGACATCTATTTATTGCAGACACCCAACCAAAAAAAAAAAATAAAAAAAAATAAAAAATTATCAAGCTATTTCGGCACCAAGAGAATGGCAAATAGACAATTTGACATCCAGACAATTCCAGAATTCAGTGGAGTAGGCACCAGTCACCCAATAGTTGAAGGCTTGAAAATGTGGAGCTCTTGTTAGCTGTGTGACAGTTGGGACATGGAGCCCTTGTAGTATATAGGAAGCTCAGCAAGGAACAACAGTCTGGTGTTGAACAAGTGAGCCCTGGTAACCGCCTTTTCAATTTGTGGCCTTTGAAAGCTTCATGGCATGGTGACTGCTACCTAGTGAAAGTGGATGTGTTTCTGGCTGAACTTCGAAGGTTTGCCCGGCTCTCCCGGCTGGCATGTGTCTTTGAGGCTGGACCCCAGTATGTCTGGGTATGAAGAAATAAGATATCTATCAGTTCTGCCCACCCCCCTAATCAGGAGGGTGAGCAGGGCAGTGCTAGTTATAAAAATGATTCATTTTGCTAGCCAATGTTTTGGGCAGAATAAAAGCAGGCACCCTTTCTGAGAAGTAGCGGTGGGCAGTTTGCTGTGCCAAGCACAGTAGGCATCATCAAGAATGAATGACATGACCCCCGAGTCAACATTTAACTATAGTTTGGGCCATTATATCAAGGAAGAAAGGAGAGCAGCTCACAGTGGCTGTACAGTACAACCCCTACTTCCATCAATATGTCCATGAGTCGCATTATAAGTACTCTGGACTGAACCACTTTGCAAGAGACTGCCAGTATCAGTGCAAAGGGAGAGTATAGTGACCCATGTGAAAAGTGCAAGTGAAGATGTGCTGCTTTAGATGCTACGAGATAGACCGCATCACGTCTAGGAAATAGAGAGAGGAGTGATATGTTGGCATCAGTCTCTCTTCAGTTTTAAAAAGTGCTCCCCATAATGAAGATTCAAATTGATAGGATCTAGTGCAAGGTACTAATGGATTC